AGCAAACGTGCGGGCAGCGCGGCGGGTGTTGTTACCTGGCTTCCAGCCGGGCTTGCGGCCCCCTCGCTTCCTGAGGCGGCAGCTGAGGCGTGAAGGCGGGGCGGCAGGTGCCGGGCAGGAGGGGCCGCTCGCAGCCCTCCCCCGAGGCGATGCTGGCGGGTAAGCAGGGCGATGTGTTCCAGGTTCGCGTTGCTGTGTGGTCCTCCAAGGGCACATGGTGAAACGTGGGCTTTGTGCTCCGTGGTGAAGCACCCACGGTCTTCAGTGGGACCCAGCTTTCTCCCAAGCCCTTCAAGCTCAACGTGTAGACGTGAATTAATTCAGACGTTCATGGCATGAGCACTGCATGCATACAGGAATCGTTGCCGAGATTTCTTACCGTCATATGCTGCGTTAGCATTTGACTGTCATCCATCGACAGAAGACTGCTAGATTGGTCGGTACTGCAAAGCCACTACTGTCCGTGTTACAATATCGCATCTCAGAACATGCTCCCATTTTTTTTAATAACATGATTTTCTTGTAAATTGTAACAAGGTTGATGACGAGGAATTAGATTTTATGACTGAAGACAGTTAATGTAAATTCCATTTTACTTTAATCAATATTCAGCAGTAAAGCAAGGAAATCGTTCACACAAACAGCTGTGGGACAGTACACTGATTTGTTTCTGTATACTTTAAATGGCTTGAATTTCTTTATTTTCTCATATAGCAAAAAGTCCTGCTGATGGTACTCCAAGAAGACCTGTTTTATCTGTCAGTGCAAGAAAAATTAAAGACAATGCAGCAGACTGGCATAATTTAATGATGAAATGGGAGAGACTGAATGATAATGGATTTAGTACGGCAAACAAAATAGTCAACATGAAGATCAGTGAGCAGTAAGTATGCTAATAACACATACAAGTAAAGACAGCATAAAGATTGCCTTTATTGAGAAATTAACCTGTTTTCTTCATGAGAAAGTTCTTTTTGGAGATAGGGGAAAGAACATAACAGAGTGGATAAGCTAGCTCTTAGATCAAACTCAGCAATTGCGCTTTTTGGTTACATAAACTATTTACATTCAAATAATGTCTCAAAGATTAAAATAATCTCATAAAGTAATGATATTTGCAAGAAATAGAAAATGTTTATTATACATAGTTAAGCATAGCGGATATTTAAAATACTTATATAATATACAAAGTTAGAATCTAATCCTATAGATCTCAGCCTATGTGAGTTCCCTTAATCTCTTGCGTGTTTACAGTGAGGCCAGTATTACCAAATTTCACTAAAGTCAAATTTCAGCAGATTTTAAGAAAGAATCAGTGATTTATATAGACAAAAAAGTTACAACAGTGATGATTAAAAAAAAAAAACCAACAAAACCCACTTTGGTAGAGCTATTGTTTTCTTGCTGTAAAGAAAAACCTATAACTAACAGGGTTTTGAGAAGAAACTTTGACAGAGTCCTGACAGCTGAACAGGGTTTGTTTGACAGGGTTCTGACAGGTACAAGCTCAGGAATATTTTGCTGTAACGGTGTCAGATGTTGCTTTTGCTCTCTAGCAACTCCCTCTCCCTTGTCTTAAGTTTACAGCTTCTGTGGGAAAGTCAGCAAGACAGGATGGGTGTCTGCACATTAGCTGCTCTGGGCTCACAGTTAAATGTCTTAGCTTAAATTGTGCATGAAGGTGAGTTTGTGGTGAGGCACCAGATTGTCAGCTGGAGCAGCTGAATCCTCGGCATACCTTGTCCATTATGAGAGAATAGCCTTCAACGCAAGGGCAAGGTGAAATGGGAAGAGGTGTTATCTTAACACCTGCAACTGTTTTTTCAAGCACATGCTCTAAGGTAGAGTAATACTATGTTCCTCTGAAGATCATGGCACCAGCCCCTGTTGCTCACATGGCTAGCTATGTCTCTTACTATTTTTATGTGGGAATTCTCATGAACAGCCTGTGAGAGACTGATTTTGTAGAATCAGACCACATGGATTTTAAATCTGCACAACTCGAGTAAACCTATATGCAGTTGTTTACTCTGCCTTTTATTTCTATTTTAGATTTCAAGACAACAAACTGGAGATAGCATGTGATAACAGTGCCACAGAATCTGAAAAGCCAACTCCAAAATACAATGAAGAACTGGACAATTGCTGTGCAGAATTACTTGAGACCTTAAAGCATATGGTAAGTCTTGTTTTTCAATCTTAGTCGATATGAATCAATTCCAAGTGTGTTCAGGTATGACATAAGGAAATGTCCTCAAGTATTTGTTGTAAACAGGAAATTGGGATTTTTATTCATAGTTCTTTGGCTTCAAACCTGAATGACTATAAATCCAGTGTGCACCATTTATTTCCTTGATTGGTAAATTTGAAAGTTGGTTTTACATCTGCCTTCTGCTTATAATTCTACTCCTCTCTTTATACAGTGATCTTCTGAAAATGAGTTGTACAAAAAGTGCATTCTAAAACCACACCTGTGTTCTGTTTTCTCACCCTGAATATTCCCTCTGTTTAGAACAAAACGAACAACAAAGGATAAAGCAGTGCTTTACCTGCCATCATATCCTTGCAGCTATCTTTGATCAGACATAATGCAGTTATAGTTTTAGTTTGCCTACCTGCATTTTCTGTGCAGAACTCCTTCTCTAGAGAGTAGTGTAAGATAATTATTATGTAACCCACCTTTTTTCTGGATATATTGCTAGGAGTTAATGTCACCTGTCACTTTGACAGGAAACAAAATTAAATTTTTTTTGCCTGATACTGTAATTTAAAATTCATAATAAAAATAACTTTTACAGCCTTCTGCCATAGTGGAGGCCCATTAAAACGATGATAGATCTATTTTGTTATATAGACAGGATATGAGTCCAGTATTTAGAGTAAGCAGGAAAGCAGCTAGATTTTCCTCAGATTTTGTTCTGTGGGAAAAAGTAACAATATTTTGGGTTTTTTTTCTTTTTTTTTTTTCCCTTGAGGTAGTTTTGTATTCAGACTACCAAGTGGGTTGATGCAATTTTTTATTACTCCTGAGTAACAGGAGTCTAAGCAGCCACTGTTAGGTTGGATACCAAACATAGCTACTACAGACATATTTTATTTTCTATTCCTTATGAGTCTGTACCAGCTTACGAGTTTATAGAAATTTTAGCTTCTTGACTTAAAAATACTGCCTGCAAGCTCCATTTTCTTGTAAATATTAGTTCCCATCAGTAATGCACAAAGTCAGGTGAACATGAAAGAAGTGGATGGAATGACCTGGTTTTCGAAGCAAGCTGTTAAATCAGCCTAGATATGTTGTCAGTCATAGCTTGAGCTTCTTTTTTCACATGCCGCTGATCTTTTGAAATCAAATTTAAGTCATCTTGACATGGTAATGTAAGGAAGCATGTGTTTATAGGGCTTGTGCCACACTTGTTCATAGAGAGTCTGACGTTTTTCCCCAGTACTAAATTGCTATAGGAAAAATCCAGAGAGAGGTGAAAAAATGAGAGCATGCTTTAATATATTTCTACATGGGGGAAGCAAAAGAATTATGCAAAATTAGAGTCAGTAATTCATACCTGCAGTGTTCAGAATTTTAGGGTATATCATATTAAATCTGTATATAAATTCCAGCTTTGATTCCTGTCTGGAGTTAAAAAAAGTGAGTTAGAAATGTTAAGACTAAATAGTCTTCAGAAACAGTGTGTTTTAAAAAAATGTTTAAGATTATAGTAACCTAGTGTTCCTGAGATGTTCATTAATGTTACATGTTCATCATTTTCAGACAAAAATACAACTGAAAATGGAAAAGCTTACTTCGACTACTAAAGCAATCTGTGATTTGGAAACATTCCACCATGGAGCTGGGAATTGCACAGCACCCTTCTTTCATACATGGCCCACACCGTACTTCTGTAAGTAAAATATTGATTATCTTAGCTAATTGCATTGTGTCATTGATGTCATCTAATTTAGGACTGGAAAATAAACCCTTTTATCTGGATGTCTTGCCTTAGAGAGAGAGAGAGAGTGTATCTGTCTCCTTTATAATTGACTAATCAATAAACACATGAATGTACCACTTTGCTTAGGGTTACTGCTGATGACTGCTTGTATGAATTGCCAAGCGTTGTCTGACATGCAACAATTACAGCATAAAACTAAGCTTGTCAGCAGCTTACAGTGCCCAAGCTGCAACAGCCAAATGCTTTGCAGAGAAAAACATATTTGCAACTTGGTAGTGTTAACCGTAGGCTTAACTGACTTGACTTGTTACTTGACACTGAAATGAAATCCTTGAATGCAAAGAACAAGCTATACCTCAGTTAATTCTCAGGCAGCCAAAGAAAAATTCCTCTGATCTCAATGTCAGTCAAGACAAGTAAAGAAATGTTCAGTTACCATCTGCTGTTAGTATCAATCCTTTTAGCATTCACTTGGTGGCAAAAGGTACTGCCTCCCAACTCCTATTACCACAGTTTTAAAACTGTGTGAATTCAAGAGAAGCCTGATTGCATGCAAACCAACTGCCTTCTTTATGAAGTGAAAGTCATACCTTTGTGAAGCCCTACTTCTTACTTCGCTACCACAAGTTAGCGGGGATTTTATGTATTAGTTTCTGGCCACTTAAAAAGGTAAAAATGGCAAAGAAACACAACTGCTCTCAAAATGCTCATTGTGACTGAATCATTTAGTGATGCTCTCTACTCCGTGAAAGACTAAATCCTCCTGAAGGCAGTGATAGTTCAGGCTAAGTTAGAAATGCAAGATCAGTCTCTCTTTAAAAATAATTTGTGTGGTTATTTTTTAGAAAGTCGAACAATTAGAGATTATTACATAAATATATTTTAACCCCCCTACCAGTATTACTAACATAACTAGTAACAATATTAGTTTTTACATTGAATACTTCAGTTTTGGTCTGTTTTGTTTTACCATTACTTTTCACTATTGGTATCACTTACTGGTGAACATGCATTGCTAAAGTGCCTGAGTACGCGAGGAGATCCTTTAGATTACCTAAAATCAACAGTGACTCTAAAATGTGAAGCTTGTATTTCAAGATAGCCAAATTACCAAATTTTAAAATCAAATTTCAGTTATTTGAAAGCATAGCTATAATTGCTAATTTTACAGTGGGTCCTGAGAATCAATACCACTGCTTATTCTAGAATTAAAAGGGGATTCATGTCAAAATCACAAGTGTATAAAATATATCCAAAAGCTGAGGAAATTGTTTAGCGTTTTATATTCTAGTGTACAAACATTATTAATGCTGTAAAAAAGAAGATATCTAGATATGGGGAATAGCTTATGTAAAGTAGGTTTTTTTTTTAATGATCAACATATTACAAGTATAATTTAACTTTTAGAGAATTGCTGAAATGTTCTGGTCAACATGCTTGGTTTTTCAATCCATTTCAGATGAGGTTTCTCTGAAGCTCTCTGAAATGTACAAGAAGGAACTACAACTCAAGCAAACAATTGTACAAGAAATTGCTCATTCTGCTGACCAGGATCTGATGATGGTCTATTTATCATCATGGTTATACCAGCCTTACATTGAGAACAGCAGCAAACTACTGCTTGAAGCCATGCTGCTGGAAACAGGACATAGACAGTGCTAGAATTTCAAGTGTTACATGGCTCACTTCTAGTGATGCTTACGTGAAACTGAAATGGCAAATGGCAAGGCTTACCAAGTAAGTTGAGTCTTTGTAAAACTTATTAAAAATATTTTTCTCTATTTGCATTTATTATTTTGTCTCAGCTGACATTCCTTTTTCTTCATGGGACAATCTGGTTTTGGTTGCTTTATCTATTTTAAGTGCAATAGAGAAGCTACAGGTAAGAGGCCAAGTCCCCTGTAATCAGAAAGAGGTAAGCACTACTTGGTAGTCTGGGTGGATTCAATGCACATAGACACCTACAGAGAAGGATTTAACTACTTTCCGAGTCTCGACAGTCTAAAATACCTGCATCGTCCCTGCCACCATAGAAATTCTGCACTTCTTGATCTTTTGTGTGGTTTGTTGTTTTTTTTTTTTTTTTTTTTTTTTGCATGACTTATCAGGGCTAGTGATTTTGTACTTGCTTTATAAATGGGGAAAAGGAAAGGAAAGCACAAAAGACAGGATCCAAAAGTGGATCCAGAAGGATCCACATAGTTTGGTATGTGGTTCTGAAATGCTGTTGCAGACACTAGTGTAGATTCTGGTTTGGTTTTGACTGTAGTGTGGTTAGGTACATGTTTTTTTTTTTTTTTTTTTTTTTTTTTTGCATGACTTATCAGGGCTAGTGATTTTGTACTTGCTTTATAAATGGGGAAAAGGAAAGGAAAGCACAAAAGACAGGATCCAAAAGTGGATCCAGAAGGATCCACATAGTTTGGTATGTGGTTCTGAAATGCTGTTGCAGACACTAGTGTAGATTCTGGTTTGGTTTTGACTGTAGTGTGGTTAGGTACATAACCCTTGAAGAGTGATCCAAGCCTGAACTAGCGCACTGGGAAGGTTTAGTACAACTCGCCATTCCGCAGTCATTATATGAAAAGGTCTTGTCTCTTTTAATTCATTGTAACTTTTTTCTTTTAGAGATGTTTCATGAAAGCATCTATTGAATAAAAACAAGACCTGCTTCAGTCACGTCCTTATTCCGTATTGTTTGCTTCCTGTCATAGGGCTCAGTGAGTTTTTCCTTGAATTACTGTTTCTGATGTCAAGTGGTTGTGGTTTAAAAGTGTGCCCTCTCTGTATTTTTGGTTAGCAGTTTACATGACAAGAATCGGTGGCTCAAATTTTTGCTTTTCTTTTTCATGCTGCTTTCTTGTAAAAATTGAGTAGAGAGTGTGTTCAGGAGAAACAATTAATGCAAAAGCTCAATGTTGAAGTGGAATTCAATACCCGTATTTTGCTTTCATTTCTAAAGACGTAATGATCACTGTAGTGTACCGTTACGTCAGATGTGGGTAGCATAGAGAAGCTGCTACGCTTACCCAGCTTTTAATAACTGTTAGCTGCTATGGCAAATTATCACTTTTCAGAAAAGTGTATTACAATGTGGAAACTATGCAGCTGCGTCATCAAATTTTTAGTTAAATCTCTAATGTGTAGTGAATTTAGGCCTTCTGCTTACTTCATTACAATTAATAATCTAAATTCCTCCTGCTTACTGATTGCCTGTATGACCTGCTCCTATATAAACCGTTGACTTAGATCTCCTATTATTTCACACAATTATGTAGTATTTCTAAGTGCTGTTGACTCAGTGTTGTGCCCTGGCAGATGTTTACCCTTGATGCTCCTTGAAACAACTATTTGAACTAAAAGACAGTAACACAAAATGCACACTGCTATGAAATGACCATAATGGCTGTGATTTGACATTAGAAAAATCTAATTAAAACAGTGAGAGATTCTGGAATAGGTTTCTGGTAGGAAAAGTAGGGTCACTTACCTAACTAGTTCCAAGCTGAAACCCCTTAAGCTTGGTAAAGGAAACACATGAGTTTCCTGCAATAACGGAACAGACAGACATGAATTGGAAAAGTTTTCTCAACATGTTGCTCTGTTCAACAACGAGGTTGTTTCACCCACATTTCTAGCGTCTAAAAAGAAATTCTGCTGTAGCTCAAGGAGAATATATTCAGTTACGAATACCGTTGTTGGGTTTTATTATTTTCCTGTGCAAGCATTTCACCTAGTTTAACAGCCACCTTAATTTATCCGAGTAGGGCCAGACCCTTGTCACTATGGAAACACCTTCATACTTGAAAAATATTTTCCAAGGAGAAAAGGCTGGCTCACTTCTAGAATTGTTCTTTTAAGATGAGAGTAGGTGTGTTGTATTTCCCAGCATGTGCAAATCAATAGGGAAGGCAAAATTGAAGCAAATTTTCATTTTCTGCACGGGTGGAAAGTGTGGTTTGTTCTTGTTTCTTAGAGGAAATAAGCTCTTCAGGAAGGAGTCTTCATATTCACAGACGCCCTTGCTCATTGGAAGATTACTACAAAATCATTGCAGAGATATTTTGCCATTGTAGCTCTAAGCAGTTGATTGTTATATTTGAAGCCCTCAGTTGTAGCTATTGGACAGTCGGTACAAAAGAGTGTAGTAAAGAATTGCTCACTGCAATCAAAGACTTTGAAAGACCAACAGAACCTTGCTTTGTATGGTATCTTCATTTATAAGGTAGGCCTGTATCCTCTGACCATTACCACCTCCTAAAAAAAGAGGAGAAAAAAACCCAACAACAAAACAAAAACTACACCATAAACCCAACCACCAGACAGGAGCTCACTAACAGCTTTCACATCCACATGTAAAATGCAGTGTTTTGGCTAATTAAATTAATCTACTTAGACAACCAAGAAAAAAACCCAGCAAAAAACAAACAAGCAAAACCAAACCCAACTATGTTAAAGAGAGATAGTAGAGCAGATTGTTTAATCTCTAAATTGTCCTGTCTCTTGTTTAGATTCAATTTTAGTGTAAGCTTTTTTCTCAGTAACAAGACTATGACAAATCAGTGTTCATACTTGATTTAAGAACAGTTCTCCTGCATGTTACAGGTCCTTTCAGCTGATTTGTCCAGTTATCTCAGTAGTCTCATGTATTTAGCGATGAGGCGACACACAAATTTTAAAAGGTATGTTACAAGCTTTCAGTAATGTCGACAATAGCTCACGAGTGAAATAAAGATACTGGTCATTTAAGACTGTTCTTTTTCACCTTCTGAGCTTCCTGAATGAACAGACAGTGCCTTGGACAAGAAGCTGCTAGGAGGTTTCCACAAAAATAGTATCATCCAAGCAAGATACTGAAAGTATGACAAAAATACAAGATAGCAGTAGATAAGTAATTTGGCAAGTTTTCTGGCTGCATAGAGAAACAGGGATATCTTTTTATTATGATTAAATAGTACAGGGCAGCGTGGAGTTACTAGGAAGGTCAAGGCTTAGAACTGATAAAGGATGCATCATCTGAAAGAAAAAAGTATAATACAAGTCTAAAAAATAGACCATCCCAGACTAAAGTAAAAAAAAAGAATTTAGTATCTGGTTAAGGAAAATCAGATCACTACTTAATGCACCCTCCCATTTCTGTCTAAGTAACAACAGTTTTTAAAGGTGTGGCTGAACATTAGACAAGCATACTTAAAGCCATTTCCAACAGTTCAGTACAAATCAGATCTTGTTTGAGGCTATTTTTGTCTCTAACGCAGTGGATGCTTATTTAAGTAAGGATCAGCTAGGCTGTCACATTGTTCCCGGAATGCTCAAGCGTGGATTATATTTAAAGCTGCCCATTTTTCCAGGCAAATTTATGTGCATCAAGTCTAGATGCTAATGAATATTCAAGCTAGCTTTAAGAAAGTGCAATAACAAAGTGTTTTGTAATCTCAATGGCACCAAAACCGCACATTTTTAATATAGTTTTTATTTTACCCATATACAGCTTGCCAGTACACAGCACATCACTGCTGAACAGCAGTACAATTTACTGCAGTTTTAGATGGCTAGAGAGAAAAGGAATTATGTAACAAAAGGGAATAGTGCAACAGGTTTAGGGTTGACAGATTTCCACCTTCCACCCACCCCCAACATATAAAGCAAATAGAACGATGTTAATTCTAGACTTTTTGGTTGCAATGCTGCTAGATTTATATAAACATAAGTTATAAAAAGTACAGGGCATAGAAACAGTTTACAAATAAGTTAAATTTCAATTATTTCAGTATTCACATTAGAAAAATATACATTTTATAGAGTCAGTCTTTTCCAGAAGAAAGCATATACAGTTTTCTAATTTATGGCTCCAATTCACTTTGCGCGAGCAAAATATCTTCACTTTGGCCATCTGCTTCCATTGCCAGTAGTGCTTCCACGGTTTCCAAAGGTATCCCCTCAGGTGTGCGAATGTGCATTGTAGTACCATTGGAATCGGTGACAATGACGATACCTTCTGCCTGAGACAAAACAGCAGTATCTGGATGAGACAGGATAAGCCCATCTGAAGTCTGAATAAAAATCTGTTCATGTCCCTGAGACAAAAAATCATGGCTCTCATCAGTAATCTCAAAGGCTACAGTTTCATCTACAGTAACTGTATTCTCCAGCTCATGTTGTTCCTCTGTCCCACAAGAAAATTCATTCACGTTTTTAAAAGAGTTTTCATGGTTCACATGAGCAGACAGGGAGGCTTCCTGGGCAGGGTTCTGGTGCGACTCAGTCTGAGCACTGGGTGGGTAGTTTATTGGCACAATGTTTGTTGCGAAAACTTTTTCAAGTTCCTGCATCTCATCGGTCACATCAGCATTATGAAGTTGTTCAGAATGTTCTTTAATTGCAAAATTATGGTTTTCTTCTTGCAGTTTCTGATATTTTTGATTGTGACTATTTTCTTCACTCGTTGGTAAGTTAGTGCTCTGACTGCCCACTGCATCCTCCGACACGGAGTTGCAGAGTTCAGGAGCTGACAGTCCACCTGCTGTATTCCCACTCACAAAGTGCGCTTGAACTAATTCAGGTGAGCCATCGGCTTCAACAGGCAATACAACTTCAGCATGTAGCAGAGATGCAGCACCTGCCATATCTGGTCCCTGTACGTTCACTGGCTGGGAATACTCTACCCTCATTTTCACAGTCTGGGAGAAGGTACCTGAATTTTCAGCATCAATTCTAACTCCTGAATCAGCAAGTGAATTATGTTCCTCTGCTGTCGGTAATGTACTTCCAGTTGTGCAGCAAGTGATATGCCT